GTTTATAAAATATATCATACAAAATTGAATAAATTAACCTATAAATATGGAAAAAGTGTTACGAAACTTATGATCGTGGTTTCTGAAACCGTTACTAATTCTTGGAATAAAATGTGGAGAAAACCCATCCCAGAATCATTATTTAAAAAAATAAATATTGGAAAATTGGCATTACCGTTTTATAAAGGTTTGGAATTAAATAAAAAGAAAAGATAAAAATAATTTTTAATTTATAGAAAATGAAGTAAAGGAAGATTTGACCTTCAATTTATCCTACTTAGAGGATGACCTTTTGAAGAAAATACCGGAAATGCCTGGATATGATGAAGAAAAATTTAGCAAATTTATCACTGAAATTTGTAAATAATATTTAAAATATTTGCTTTAATAGAAGGGGATAATTAGGTTTATCTAATTATAGCAGGTAGTGGGATAGATTAGCAGACTATAGGAGCACTGAAGAGTTCGTATCATAATTTATACTCCTCATATCTCCTTGATACAAGATATCTGGGCGAATCGGTTTATTTCCCTATTAATTTGCTCTTTTAGCACCATATCATGAGAAGCACAAATTGAGTTTAACGGAAAGTCATCATTATATGGCTATTCTCGACAATGGCAACAATACTGGCAATTTTGATTTTGAAAGTGTCAAAGATTATGAATTAATAAATAAAAGTGTAGTTGAGGCGTTAAATTTTGTAAAATTTTAAATAATAAATTAAAAATAGTACATATAATAATGTTAATTATGAGTATACTTTGATAGAATAATTTTTTCTGATTAGGATTGGGATATCGAATTTGGATTTAAGATGAGAGATTTAGGACTTTTAATGTTGCTAAGAGACCCAAATTAGGATAAAAAAACTTGCAAAGAAGCGTCCCTCCAGAATAATCAAAAGTGGATTTTTTATAACTATTGTGAGTGCAGAAATTATGGGCAGATTTTTATAATTAAATAAATTTTAATAATTTTTGTGAAGTTTAAATGTTTATTTTATTAGAATAACTATCTTAACATTAAAAAAATAATTGGGATTAATAATTAGTTTATTCCTGATATTTTGATATTTTAAGAAAATAATTTTATTGTTACTTAAAATCATTTATATTTTATAATTTGTTTTTAGTCGGACAAAAACAAAAATATAAAAAGCTTAAACAAGGCTTTAAACAATCTTGAGACGAACATTGAATTAAAGAGTAAAATTCTAAAATGTGGTTTGTACGGGAAAATTTTACATTTTACCGCTTTGGAGATTGATAATGAGGATAAAATAAAAAAATCTGGGTTATTTGAAGATGAGAAATTAAATGAAATAAAGGATGAAATCACAAAAGATATAGATAATTATTTAATACAAAACGGAGGAATTTTTGTTAAAAAGGAAGGATTTTCGAAAATATTTTCAAGCAAAAATGGGGAAAATGAAGAAAATAAACGTGAAAAATTGAAAAAGATAAACCTCAAATATAAACTGAGAAAATTATTTTTGCTGAGATTGAAAATAAAATTGGCTGAATTGAAAGGACACCCAATGGAAATTGGTTTGGAATTTTAATAAATTTTTAAAAAATATTTATAACATAATTTTTCTTTATGAAAAATAGGGTTATTTTTAATATTATTATAAATAATTAAATTTTAATTTCATCAATTAAAGTAAATTCTCCTATTTCTTTGGAAGGAATAATCGGAAAATTAAAGAAATTGGGTATTAAAGAAAATGCTCCAGAGTTTCTAGCCCAAATAATTCACAAAATTGAGTCTAAATGTGAATTTAAAAAGACAACAACAAGCTTCGTTAAATCTCTTCTTCCATTCAAAAATGAAGGAGAAACAGAGAAAATAGAAAATAATTTAAAAAAACAAACAGATATCGTTAAAAAAAATTTTGAAGAAAAATTAGATGAAGAAATGAAAAAAACTTTGACAAAAGATGATGAATTTAGAAGAAAAACTTGGGAAAGAATTATGGATTTGGCTACTAGACGTTTAAATTTAAAAAAATATTTGACGAGAATGGCTAAGGAAACCAAAGATTTTGTAAAAATTTTGGACAAAAATAAGAAAAAATTGGACAAACAAAAATTAGTTTTAAAGGATGTTAAAAAGGTAGATGAGTTTAAAAATAAGGTAAGAATAAATTTTAGATAATTTGTGGATATATTAAAAATAATATTAAAATTTTAAACCTTTTTCTCTGATACCCTCTTATAAACAATTGTAGTAGGTATATTATTATACATAGTTTATTATCTAAAACAAACTGAGGTTGTATGTTTTCTCAAATAAACATTATTTTCTTATAAATTTTGAAAATTTAAATTTTCTAATTTAAAAACAAATTAATTTCAATTTTATCCTCCCTCAATTAATTACCCCCTCCCTGCCCCCCCCCCGCTCCAGCGTGAAATTGAAGAAATAATAAGAGTAATTGTTTGATCATATAGTTTAGATAAATTAAATTTTGATAGGGGATTTATGATGGGCTTCTAATAGAGGCGAACTTCAATTAAAGTTAATTTTGAAATACTCTTTTTTATAATTTAGGTGGATAATGAAAATGTGGCTTACAAAAAGCGTATGATCGGAAAATTCGAATTCCTTAAAAACAATTGGGAAGAAATGATTGAAAAAATTAAAGAAATTCCGACAAATGTCAAAGAAACTTTAAAAGAAAATGGCCATTCATTTATTGGTTATTGTTTGGCAAAACGCTTCCAATTTGTTTTTAACGATGAAGGACAGGCAAAAACAAAGTTTTATAAAGATAACAATTCATATCTTTTGAAATATGCGACAGAAATTAATGGAATATTGGGTCCAAGAAGAGTAGACTTGGAATATTACAAAAAATTTGAAAATAAATTTAAAGAAAATATTCGAAAATTAAAAACAAACAACCAAACGGAGGCAGGAACCTCCACTGAGACAGAAAAGTTGGGTAAAATGATAGATTTAATTTTGAATGATTATTGGGGGAATATATGTGCCATTGACAGAGATAATGTTCAATTTGAAAAAGCGGATGAATGGGCACTACAAACAGGTAATATGATAAAATGTTATAGATTCCAGTCTTTCGATTTACATATTTTTCGGTTCGTCTCATCTTTCTAACATAAGTCGAATGGTACCACTCATTATGATCGTAAAAGCCTGGGGACAGAGATATAGGTCTGAGATATTTATACATATCTCCCAGACATATACCCTCAGTCCCTATACCTGGGGATTGAAAGATTCATGTGCAAAAATTTGCGGGCATATAACGGCTAAATTACTTAATTATCATTAAATACTTTATATTTGTTATTTTGTTTTCTAACGTTTCGAGGAAAATCAAACATTAGTTTTCTAAAATTTATATTTAACACAGTCAATACAATACTCAATGACAATTTCAATCTTGCTGATTTGAAGTTTGCTGATATTGATCCTGATGACTTTAAAGACTTGAACAAAGCAAGCAACGAATGGGCAAACTTCAAAAATGGAGCTTGTAAGAAATAAATTATATTTTTATTTTATTTTTAATGTTTTAAATTTAAGTGGAACGTTTCAATTTACATAAACTAACATTTACTGAGGCACATATAATAATTGCTTCCTTTCATAAAAATTTGAGTGATCATATAGCAGCAAGTGATATAACATCAATGATACAAAAAGAAATGGGAAAAAATATTTATTGGCAAATTAAAGAAGAAATTAAAAAAGTTTGTGTAAAATATATTTTTAATTAAATTTATTTTTTAAGTTAAAAACAAATAAAAATGGTCAAAAAGAATTAATTGTCGAAAAAGAATTTTCTCGTGTTGAAACTTCAATCGAATTAAAAGAAAAATTAAAAGCATGTGGATTGTCTGTTTATGTATTGGAATTTGTTTTGAATGAAAATCAAGGCAAAGAAGGAAATCGTTTAAAATCAATTACTCGATTTTTGTCAAAAATTCGATTCTTGTCAAAGAAGAAGAAAGAATTGTCTGAAAACATGAAAAAATATTTGGAAAATTTTAAAAATAAATGTGGAGAAGAAATTAAAGAAAATAAAGACTTGAAAGAATTGAATAAACTTGTTGAGGATAAAACAAAATTAAATGAAGTTAAAAATAATTTAATTATTGAAATTAACAAATTTGAAAATAAATTGAATGAAAAAATTAAAAAATTGGAGAAAATAAATTTAAAAAGAGAATTTAAAAAGAATGAGGATTTGAAAGAAAAATTGAGGAAGGAAACAAAAGAATATATTGACAGATTAAAGGAGAAATTGGTCTTTTTAGTTGGAAATTATGAGAAATTAACAGACAAAGATTCGGTTTGTTTAATTTAAAATTTTGAATAAATTTATTCAAAAAATGAAAAATAAATATTTAATTTAATTTTAGACTTCACACATAAATACTTCAAGTTTATCAGCAATTATTTATTGTTTAACAAATAAATTCTTGGAAATGTTTAACGAAGATGGAGTTGTTAATATGGATATTTTATTACAAAATATTTCAAATACAAATTTGATAGAATATGGAATGGAAATGAATGAAAAATTGGGAAAGAAAAGAGTTGATAAAATGTAAGTTAATGTCCTGATAGAAACCCTCGGATTATATTTTTCAATGGGTCCCATTAATTTGGAATGGGGTCTACTTTAAAAATAAAATGAAAACTCGGATTTATAAAAAAATAACTGATTTTCGAGATTGAATAAGCCAGGACTGGGCCTTCCTTAGTTATAATCTTAAATATGTAAATTATTTAAATTAGGGTTCAGCGATATCGAGATTCCGAAAGTATACTCGTATATTTATTAACTATTATTAAATATTTCGAATTTGGTTCTGGTTTTTTTCTTTTAAATGACCCATAGTTTCGGATTAACTTAATGACATAAAAAAAGCCTAATAGTGAGCATATAACGAGATTCAACTGTATATGAAAATAAATTTATAAATATTTTTAAAGGTATTATCAACAAATTCTCAAAATGATTGGAGAAAATAGTAATGTTGAATTAAAAAAATTAAAAGAGAATTGGAGTAATTATTGTTACATTGACAAACAAAATGTTGAATTTGAAAGACCCGAGGAATGGGCACTTCAATATAGTAAAATTTTTAAATAATTTAATTAATTTTGAATTAAATTAAAGAAAATGAAATTGGTTTACAAGAGGATGGTTTTCGTTTGGCATATTTGGGAGAGGGTAATGATGACTTTTTGTTAGCAATTAATGATAAAGAAAGTGGATTAACAACAAAACAAAAGGAGGAAATATTTAAAGAAATATGTAAATTTAATTTAAATATATTTATTTTTTTTTAAATTTATTTTTTAGTAAGCGACTTTAATCTTCAAAACGTCACTTTCTTAGAAGCTCATAAAATGCTTGGTTTATCCAACTCTACAACAAAAACAACTTCAGAAATAGCAGAAACGTCTTCATCCCAAAAACAAGAAGAAACATACAAAAGAATTAAATTCGAAATATTAAAGGTTTTTAATTTTAGGAAGAAATCCACAAAAATTTTTAACTTTCGTCCTTGCCTAAGAATTTCAAATATATTCGGACTTGGGACATCATTTATCCTTCTGGAACCTGAAAAAGATTTTTGGCCAAATTAGGAAAGTCTTATAAAAAGAGGTATAAGCATGAGAAGATCGGTCCGACCATAATATTTAGAAAATTCTTTACTCTGTAAAATTTTAAAAAAATTATTTATTTCAAACAAATTTAGATACGAAAAATTTTCAAAAATCAAAAAGAAAATAAAAAAGAAAATGAAGAAGTTATGGAAGAAATTCAAAATGAAGAAGAGGAAGACGAGAAAGCTTTAAATGTTTTAAATAAACAATTAACTAATTTAAAGAGTGTCAATTCTCAATACTTCCAACAATTTGAAGAAAATATTAAATTAAAAACAGAATGGCAAAAATGTTTAAATTATGTTATACTTTTGAAAATATTTGTAAAAAATGATTTGAAAATGGAGGAAATTAAAAAGATAATTTCTGAAAAATTGAAGAATGAATGCAAATTAAATGTCAAAAAAGAGAACAAGAAAATTGAGGAATTATATGAAAAAATTAAAGAAGTATTAGCTAAAGATATAAATGTTGTAACTGCTAAAGAATTAAAAAATTTAGAAAATAATTTAAACAAAATTATTGGCCAAATTGAAAATAAAAATCAATTAAAGGAGTATTTTGAAGAATTGAAAAGTATTGAGAAAAAATCTGAAGAAAAGGGACGTCGAGATGAAATTATTGAAAAAATGAATAATTTAGTGAATGGAAAAAATATTAATGAATTTGATGAACGATTAAAAAATAAATATGAATTTTTGTTGAAAAATTGGAAAAAATTGTTTAGCTCCACTAAAGTACAAAATGAGGAAACAGAAAATATTTTTTATAAACAAATATTGCCTGAAAGTGAAGAAATTAAAAATTATTTTAAAGATTCTGGCCCCCTTTTTGTTAAATATTGCTTAACTAAAAGAATTGAAAATTCATTCAATAAAGATGGAACTGTGAAATTTTCTGATTTTTTGAGTAATGGTGTTGGACAGGAATATGGATGGGAATTGAAAGAAGTTTTGGGGCAAAGACGTATTGATGTTGGGTAAATTAATTAATTAAATATTTTTAATAAATATATAGTGGATAAGTTTTAATAAGTCGCCACAATTACACGTCACTTCCGTATTAGTAAATTTCACTTTGTATATTTAACTAATTTTATTTTTAATACTAAATATTATTTATTTATTAATTTAAACTTTATTTCTTATTTTTTAGATATTATGAGAATATACAAAAACAAATTAAAGAAGAATTAAAATATGTGTGTGAGGAAGATTTTGAAGTAAATCTGAAAAAAGCTTGTAAATTATTTTTGGAACATGAATTACAATATTGGCATTCTTTTTGTTCTATTGATACAGAACATTTACGTTTCGAACGTTTTGAGGAAATGAATGTTGTTACTAATGATTATCAACACAAAAAAGAAGAAGAAAAGAAAGCTACTTTTAAGGAAGCAACTTTTGATAAATCTGGAGATGATAGTAAATTCGAAGGAGAAATTGAAGATGCTAGTAAGAAAACAACTTCTGATGAAGTCAAATCAGATGATACTAAATCCGAAGGAGAAATTCAAGTGTTGTGATATTGAGAAAAGAAAAAAGAATGTATATATTACTAGTGGTAGTTGGAAAAAATTTTTAAAAGGTAAAGTTTGAGAAATGTAAGAAAAAAGTCAGCCGTATATTTACATACGGATGCTGAAATCTTTAACCGTAACCATCCCTTTTTAAATTTATTTATTTGGTATTATTTTTATTTTATTTATTTTTAAATTCCTCATTTATTGTTAAAGCTTGTCGTTACTAAAATAATTTTTTGTAATTTGAATAGCTCATTTAAATAGTATTACCTTTTTGTAAGAATAATTTTTTGAATTTAAAGAGAATCTTTTAAATCCAAAAATACGACAACCTTTGTTTATTATTAACAAATTGAGAATGTATTTTTCATTCACATTTATTTAATTCACATTATATTTGTTTCAGTATTTCAGAACCGGCTTTGAATCCGAAAATTTTGCAAGTATTTTTTGCCAAATTTTAACCGATCTTTATAAAAATCTAACGCGAAAATTTATGATCCTTTCCGCCCAAATAAGTGGGTATTTGTTTAATAATCCCTTTAAAGCAGTTCTGAACTACCTATATTATATCATCTGCGTAAAATACACGTTTTTTAAAATTATATTCGAAAGAAATTTGTAAGATATAATTGAATTGAATTTGAAAACAAAAAACATTTTAAATATATTTTAGTTATACAAATTTGAAATAGAAATTATTCAATTCAATTATAATGTGAAAATTTTTGTTATGTTCACAAAAAGTGCCGAGTAAAATAGAAAAATTTTGCTTCATTCAAATACTTTTTCAAAAAATCTATTCAGGATTGGAAAAAAATATTTCAAGCTTACACGGCACTATTCATAACTTTATTAGATGTATATTCATCTTTGGACAAGATATTTTAGATAAACTCCTCGGCTTTCGCGAAATTATACTTGTCCATACATGGATATATTCATTATATACATACACATATATTCACAAACTGTAGTTATTTTATGCAATTTTGTAGTCGCATAAAATTTTTAAATTCTTTTAATTATTTTTGTGTTGAGTTTATATAAAGATTATTCTGATTAATCTACAATTTGGCTATCTAACTTTGAAAATAACTTATATTCTCTTTGGTGATACGACATTTGTGGTATCTAGAGCTTATGGAGCTAAGTTAAATTGACAATGAGTCGTGATAAAGACTTCAGAATATCAGTAAACCGTGCGATGAACTCAACTAGATAAATTCTTTCGAAAGACATTTAATTGGACCTATGTAGTTAATCTTAATCCTGTTTTGTTGATAAATGGGCATCGGACTTAACTCCTCTAGCTATTAAATCCTCTATCAATTATTTTAAAAGAAATTTCGTTCAGTTGCTTACTACAAACTTCAATAAAATGAAGAAAAAATTTTCAAGTCTAAATTTTAAAAATTTAATTCCTACATTATTCTTTAATATTTTTAAAAATTGAATATCACGTAATAAGTTCATTTATTTAAACAACAATTTAAATAAAAAATTCCCAATTTAGACCTTTTTAAAAAATTTTCTCGTTATTTAAATTTGTATTAAACAATCTCACGATACTGATTTCCTTTAAATTAAAGAAACAATTTATATTTTATTATTCAAAGAATTGCCGGAATTAATAAAAAAATTAAAGTCATTTTTCTTTAAAAATACAAAAAATTAATTTTTATGGTTTATAATTAATAAAAAATTTCTAATTATATTTAAACCAAACAAAATTTCACTTTTTTTAATTTTAATCGCGAAATATTTTCTGACAAAGGAATACAATTTAAAATTGTTACCATTTGTTCTTGGTTCGTGTCCCTTCATTTTGTATTTTCAACCCCCTCAGTTCCAATGTTCGTTATTTCAACTTTTAAGGAAGTAAAAAATATTTTTATAAAACAAAGGAAAATTTTTTAAAATAATTATTATGTATATTTTAAAAAATCAGACCAAACGTATAAAAATTTAAAAAGAAAATTTTTTTATTTAAAAGTTGTGATCATTTTTTAAAAATCATTTTTGATCATTTTTTAAAATTTTTCTCTCCTTCAGCTAGTGCAAAAGGTTATTCGGCGGTTACCAGCATCTTCAGTAGACCGGACTTGATCCATTACACCACACCGCCTACTGCATAGCCTTAGGAATTAAATAATAGCTATATGCTTTACAAAATATTCTTTTTTGTTTTGTATTTTTGTTTAAAAAAATATTCAGATCCAAATCTGTTTAACAACAAGAAAAAAATTTTTAATTAGAATTTTTTAAATATAAAATAAAAATTTAAATTAATTGGATACATAAATGATCTTTATTTTTAAAATATATGCTTTGTATTTTATTACATAAATACTTTTTTTGGTCATTATTTTATTTATTTTTAGATTTGAATTTTTTTAATAAATAAATACAAATTTTTGAATATATATAAATTGAAATAAATTAATTAAAATAATTATTTTTATTTAAAATTAATATATAATTAATAATAAATAATGTCTTCATCATCAAATTCTTCTTCTACAGTAAAGGTTTTAAAATAAATTAAAATTTATCAAATTTTATTTTTCTGGTGTTTTTTTTTTAAATTTTGAAATAAAATATTTTATTTTGATTATGTTTCTAAGAGGGCTGAAAATAAGTAGAATAATCTGATCTTTAAAATTATTTAAGATTCCCAAGAAATCGCTCTAAAATAGGCGAGAAGAAAGGTATAATAGTTATTTAAGAAGCAAGGTTTATAGTGATTTTACTTAATTTGTGAGGGCAACGGCAGCTAGGATCAAAATTTTACCATAAATCTATTCTAAAAATAGAGACTGCCCTTAGGGGGCGATCTAAAATATTGCTATCTGTTGAGCTATTAACCTAAAATAGCTCAAAATAAACATCCTTTTCTATTGTTTATTTTGAAAGTAAAAATATACAAAATAATTTTTAAATACATAAAATAATTTAATAAATTTTAATTAATTAGAATGAAATGAATCAAATGTTTTATGGAACTGGTCCTTCTGCTTGGCTCATAACCCTTTTTGGTATTAAAGTTATAATTGCAATGGTTGGTTCTACTTTGAATGGAACTCTTGCTTATGTTATTTTACGAAATAAGTAAAATAATTTATTATTTTATTTTTAAATTTTTATTTTTTTTTAAATTTAAATATTTGAGAAAGCATTTTAAATATTTTATTAATAATTTTGAAAAATTCATCTTTTCAGAAAATCTGTTATAATTAAAACTAGGGGCCATATATCCTAAATTTTCGGTTTGAATATTGGGCCTGGATATCCGGGATTCTATCCGGGGATCCACTATCACTAACTATGATTAATTGGGGCTAAACTCTATACATAATATATCTAGGATTGTTTCGTTCTCTCTCTGGGGAAGGGTAAAAGAGATAAAGTTACTTAATATTTGACTAAATAAATATCTCATCATTGTTTTTTAGTTTCTATTGTTCAGTCATTCCATTTAAATTGTAAATTAATTAAAAAATCTCTTAAATTAAAAGAATATGTATATTTTTAGATCAATGAATTCTCTCTGTAATAAATTAATCGCTTGTTATTCAATCGGTTCAATCTTCCAACAACTTAATTTTTTCGTTACTTTCGCAACTGTAATTACCGGAAATAATTTTATTTCATACAAAACTTGTGTTTTAATCCAATTACTTCCAATATTTTTTTCTTTCTTCTCCTTTCCCTTAACTTTTTTTATTGCAATTGAACGTTTTTTGGCGATTTTCTTTCCAATTTGGTATAAAAAACGAAATGGAAATAATTTTCTGATTGTTATTTTATTTTGTTGTTTTGTTCTTGGAAGTTATGTTACTTCTGTTGATATAATTACTTCTTTTGGAAGTCCTAATACGTGAGGGATATTTTTTTTATTTTGAGGGTATGAAAGTGAATTTATATTTCCTGGCTTCAAGTCATACTTCCAGACTTGAAGGGGTAAGTGGAAGTTGAAAAAAGGAAGTAGAAAACTCTTCTTTCTGTTTCAACCTTTTGAGACAATCTAGATTTGTCTCTTATTCCAGATCCCTCCCAAATTACGATATGAATTTATATCTCCTGGCTTCCTGGCCTCATTCGGCCACGTCCATGTCCATTAACTGTAATTTATCCCACAACCTCTCTTTCAAATATAAAAATAAATTAGTAGCTGGTATCAATTTAAAAATTAATAAATTAAATAATCATTAAAGTCTTGTAATTTGTGCTATTGGCCCTAAAATTGATGCTTCTTTAGTCAACTATCTTATTCTTGGAATGAATTCTGGTTCAATTTGTGCTTATTTAGCTGTCTGGATTCGAATAAAATTTGCTGTTGGGAACTATACTGATTATCAGAGTGTGTGTTTTTGAAGTTTAACAAATATTTAAAGTCGGACTTAACTGTAATATAACCTTGGAATTTTATAATTAGGTTATCCGAAATTATCAATCTCTCCCATGCCCAATGGCCATCAAACTTTTGAATTTGGTTGGCATTTAAATGAGGTGTAGCTAGTATTGGGTGTATATTTTATTGAGATCCAATTGTACTTTTTCTCGTTATTCTAATAAATATTTTATAGCTCATCTTTTAAAATGTCTTTTTGTTCTTTTACTCCTTGAACTTTTTGGCTGGACTTTCAGTGTCGGTTTGCGTGTATTTATTGGACCTTTATTTGGAATTGTTTCTGGAACTTTTTTAAATTTTTTAATTATTAATTTGGCAACAAATATTGCCTATATTGCTATTGCTCTTAATCTGCCCGTTTTATACACTTTTAGGTTAATTTTTATTTTTTTTAGTTAGACAAAAAGCGAAATAGTATTGGCACTTCACGTAAACATAAGAGAGACAGTGTCTGCAGTACAAATTAAACATTTAATTTTAGCAAAGAACACCGAACAGCTTTAAATAAACAATGGGTCAAAATAAAAGCCATTTTTCGATTATCAACAGTACACGCAACAGGACAGCAACCTGCTAATGCTGTTTTTGTTGTTCCTAATGCCATTTCTCGACAACAAACTTCTTCTCAGTCATTAAAAACATATGGTATATCAACTAGAGAATATTATTCCATTTTATTTTAATTTTCCAGGAAGAGTATATAGCAAAGCTATGTAACAATGGAATTTTATTCATAAAGAATGACGTATTTTTTATACAATATATTGATATATAATTTTTATTTTAAATTTACATATATCTACAATTTTTTAAATTTTGCTCTCTATTTACATACTTTCTTAATAATTAAATTAATAAAAATTAGAATTTACATAAGAAATTTAGGATTAACACAAAAATAAATAAATCGTTGAAATCTACACTCAACAAGATATCTCTTAGTTTTTTGTGAACTTTGAAGAGTTTAATCCCTTAATATGTATATGCATATTAAGAACGAACATTTGTCACGTTTGCGACTCTAACTAGAATGATAATAATAGATAAATTTTTTAAATTTAGCTTTCTACAGAGAGCTAAATTTAAAAAAAAAAGTTTAAATTTTTATCTCTTTTTAATGAGTCGAGCCATAAATCCCATTATGACGACGATATGATGAAGGACGTGGCATTTTTATTAAAACGTCTGATTGACTCAAAGTTTTATAGAATTTAATACATTAAATGTGGAAATACATTATTTGTTATCGTGTTTTTGGTATGTCTCCGTAAGTTAGCTCCAAAGCTTACAAAGCAGTGTTGCGTCGCAATTACGCATTACGATTACGAAATTTTCTTAAGTTACGAAGTACGTTTACGAAAAAAAAATTTTTTGATTACGAAGCAACGCTGCTACAAAGCATAAAAGCCCAACACAGCTTAATAATTTTTCAATTTCCCAATGAAAAGCCTGTTTATTTTATTTTAATAATTATTAATATTTAATACATAATTACATAAAATATTTTAGTATTCCACTCATATATTTTAGCGAAAATTTTAATTAATGATTGTTTTAAGCTGTTCAAACAAGCTTTTCATTTATTTCATTGAAAGGATGTTTTATTTAATATACGCAATTTTCATTAATAAAAAAAGCTTTTTTAGTCAATTTCTCATCATTCTCTAAGTTTCAATAATTTAATTACATAGATTTTGGTTGCCATAGAAATTTTTAAATTTAGTTTTAATTAGAAACAAATTACAGTTTAGGCCTCTCTGGAATTATACTTAGTATTTCAAGAATAAAGAAATAAAATAAAGATTTCTAGTTATAAAGAGCAAAGCCTCATCTTCAATGGTATTATAGGGTTAATAAACTTAAATAATTTATAAAAGGTTTAACAAAATGTCTTATTATTATTCAATTCAAAATTCGGAATTTGATGATAACTATAATATTTCAACACCCTATACATTTAATTGTGATAGTGGATTTAGTTATCCTTCATCTGATAATGATCGTGTTAGTTTGGAAGATTTGGAAACACAAATTGATAAAGAATCCCTAATATGTTTTTCTAGCAGTGATAATAAAACTGTGAACAACAACAATTTAAATTTGCAATACAAACGAAAAAATAACCCGAATTCTGTATATTAATTATTAAATAGTTGACATTCTATGTTAATCCGTTCATTACACAAAGGATGTCATAAGAAAGATAAAGGGAAGGGCATTTAGCGATAGCCTAGCATTTCGAGTACATTAAGGGATAGCCGTATTGATGATAACTATATATGTTGATCCTTAAAAATACAAACTAAAATATAAAATTTTAGCTTATGAAAATGCCAATGAATTGCGTTGTTCTGTGGTAAATCAGCCAAATTTTGTCATTTTGATGTTCCAAGTTGTTCAGGTTCTAAATATTCTAAAATTCAGTCAATTCAGTTTAAAGGTTGTTTTTCATTCTTTCGTCGATCTATACTAGATCAACACATGTATGTTTGCAAAAATCAAGGAAATTGTAGAATTGAAGAGGGTACTAAATAAATTTTAAATTAAAAGGAATTCTTTGAAGGGATATTCTGCCGTTCCTGCCGTTTTGACCGTTGTCTTCTTGGTGGAATGAACTTTCGAACTATGCAAAAATTTCCAAATGGAATTGATATTAACAAAATTTCTGCAATGTTAAATGAGAAAAAACACCAACTTTTTGAAAAAGCTGCAAAGTCTCAAAGATATCCAAATTTTGGTCAATATGATGTGACAATAGTAATAGATTATCTGAATTCTTTAATCTTTAGCAAGTAAAATCCAAAGCTGATCCGAAAAATATTTTTGTCTTGATATTCTTTAGAATTCTTCGATTTATTATTTTCGAAGATTTTTTGGGGTCTGTCCAAAACAAAAATTAAGATATATGTATATCGCATGTCATTCCTGTTTCCCAGAAGAACACTTCACGTAATAATTTTTTAAGGCATTTTATTCATTATTTTAGCAGCAAGAATTTTCATCTGGAAACAATAAACCTGAAGTTGAATTATTACAATTTTTGTTATATTCTGACGATAAACTTTTACACATTCGCTACTCTGAGACAGATATTTCCCCAAATTATTATAATAAAAGTATGTCTGATATTCTAAATAATATTGATGGTGGAAGCTTATCAGATTCTATTTTGGCAAAATCTGATATGTTTTCGGTAAAATAAGCAATTTATTATTTTAAATTTTATATAAAATTTATCAGAAACGGAGGAGAGTACCTAAAAGCCTTGACTTTTTCATGCAACAATTGAGGAAAGGTGTAGAAATAAAACCAAGATGGGTAACAATCGACTCATTTTTAATTATTGAAATGACAAAAACAATGCCAGTACTTGGTCAACTCTCATTTGAAGATAAGGTTTATCAAAGGAAAATATGTACTACAGAAAGGATCTCAGTTTTTTATACATACATGGGGCTAAAAATCGTATAATGTGATGGGATGCTTCCTATGATGCGTCCTAGGCAACTCAGACTGAATTTAAAAAAAATTTATAGTAAACTTTGTGTATTAATTTTGGAGTATGTAAAACTAAGATCTGATTGTATATTACTAGAAGTAAAACAAAAAAATTCAGATTCATCTTTACTCTCGAAATGGATTGACAGCAATTGTTTTTAGTATGCTCTTTTACAGTAAAAACCTCCAAGGAAGCGATGTATTAATATCTCCTGCTGGAATGAGTCCTATATTAATTGAACATGACGAAACTGCTAATCTGCTATTTTACAAGCATTTAATCAGAATAACAGAATTTAATTTGAGCAGAAAGGAATTTTTGATTCTTAGAGTTTTAATCTTACTTCACACAGGTTTTTCTTAAAAATATGTGTATGTTGTGATAATATATAGAGACCTTTTTTAGATATCCCCCGATGCTTAAATTATGAACCGAATTTTTATACAATTGCATATTTTTTAAACATGGCATGATGTCTTGTTACCTCTAGGGTTCTTCTATATTTAGTAAAAAAATAACTTAATCACAAATTAATATTAGTCCCTATCATAACAAAAAATATTAAATATTTAATGTTTATTATTTAGCTACAACAGAATTGTCAAAAATCGGATTTGGAATAATACATGCTGAACTTGAAAAGCTTTCAAAAACTTTGTTGTTTTACGAACAGCACAAATGGGGTGATGCGAAAGGTGCAGAGAGATTTGCTAACTTGGTAAATAATTAAGCAAAATTCTAGTTATAAATTCTCTGATATGATAGAATCCTTATTTTATCAAGCTTTTCGAACATTTTTATTGTGGAAGGCAGTTCCAGCCACAAATTATCCAACCAAATTAAAAAACATCATAATTTGGTATCTAATTTTGGAGGTTTCGCATTTTCTCGATTAGTTCCCTCCTTAAAGTTGAAAAATTAATTCCCCAGGTAAAGGATTTTTAATTTTTTAATTTTCCCTTAATTTGCTCTTTATCTATTCAGATGATAAACATAAGACCGATATTGAACATTGGCAAAATACATAAAAATCATGCTAGAAGTCGTGCAAATAATTTTCCTAAATTTATGAATAGCTTAATATTTGAGAATTGTGAAGAATAAAATTTAAATACGTACACAAATTGTGCTAAAAAATTAAAAATTATAATATTTTTTATTTATTATTAAATAAAGTTTAATTAATTTTTTTCTATTAAATTAAAGTTCTAATTAGGTAACTTTAAATAACTTTAATTAATTTTTCTTATATTTAACATTTTACATTTTTGTCTCATAAATTTTTATATAATATATGTATAATTATGGTGGCACGACACTGGCACAGTTTTCTCGATTAATTTCCCATTCTCGAATAATTCCCCACTCTCGGTTAATTCCTCATCTTACTATTTATCAATAGAGAGGAAAAATAACCCAATGAGGAATAATCTCAGTCAGTCAATTTGCTATAATTCCCCACAATTAGTCTTGTGTAATTTGTGCTATTGGCTCAAAAATAATTGCTTTTTAGTCAACATTTCTATTTTTGGAATGAATTATCGTTCAATTTTTGCTTATATATCTGTCTCACGACCCCGTTATTCTTCTTAATCACCAAATTGGGAATACTAAGGAATTTGTGGGAATTAAGGGAGATAACTAAGGAAATGATGACAAGACACAATCTTTTTACATAATTTCCTTTTGTGGAGATGTAGACAGCGAGCTGGACATTTACCGCTGTCTGGATTTGAATAAATCTCCCCAGTGGCCAACCAAGTTTTATGAAAGTAACATGTATTGAACTTTTTAGAATTTCCTGGTACTTTTTCCCTTCTTTTTTAAATTTTTAATTATTACTTTGGTAACAAATATTGTTATTGCTCTTAATTTGCATGTTTTTCATAGAATTTTTACTTAATTCAAAATCTTATAGAATTTTACATTAAATGTGAAAATAGTACATTTGTAGGGAGCTGGCAAAATAAGCAAGGTTGTTATGTATACTTGTTTGAGTCCATTTCCTTTTTCATTCTGTCCACCATTTATTTTCTTAATGGCAGGGCTCTCATTGAGAAAACGTTAAGCTGAAGTGCAAAAAGTTAAGTTATAAGTACATAATGGAAAAAATTTTCAAATTATTAATACGCTACAAAAATACACAAACTTTTTTTTCATTACACTCATAACGTTTTAGTGAAGAATCGGAAATTCTAGAAAATAAAGCGGAAATCTTCCAATCAACCTCTGTCTGAGATATATTTTAGAATTTTGTTGATTGGAAGGATTAATCAAATAAAATTAGGTATACATTTTTTATTCAAAAATAAATTTTTCTGTTTTTTTTCTAAATTTTATTTTTTGTAGTTTGAAAATTTTTTGCTTTCTAACTTTTATTAAAACTTAAAATAAACAATTCCACGTTTTCATCTCCCTCTAATTATCTTTTATGTAGCCATACGATATATCTTTTACATTTTGGCTTTTTGAGGGTGCCTTATTACATCTATCCATTACCAAATTATTGACAAAATTTTCAATTTTTCATTCCACTCATACATAAATTTTAGAGAAAATAGCTGTTTAAACAAGCTTTTTATTTATTTAAAATAAATGATTTATTTAATATAATTTGAGTAAAAAATCTTTATTAATTTGGCTTCTAATTTTTTCCCTTAAAATTTATTAACTTCATTAAATTTCTGTTACCATAGAAATTTTTTAAATTTAGCAGTAAAAACACATATTTTTAGTCGAAACTCTCTAATATGGCCCCCAGTATTACTCTTCATCATATGTCAGTTAAGTTCAGTTCCGATGAGAGAATCTCTCTTAAATTCTCTATGAGAGATTCTATTGCATTCTGGATAGTACCCAAAAGGAGTCGGCTGTACCTTTGTAAGTAAAAAGATCCTTTGTCAAAAGGAGTAAATCCTCTTTCTCAGTGGTATTATAGAGTTAATAAGCTTAAATAATTACAGGTTTATCAAAATGTTTTTTCCTAATTCAAATCAAAATTCGGAATTTGATAACTATAATATTTCAACACCTTATACATTTAATTATGATGGTGGATCTAGTTATCCTCCATTTGATAATGATCGTGTTAGTTTGGAAGATTTGGAAACACAAATTAATAAAGAATCCCTTTTATGTTATTATAATAACAAGACATCGGACAACAATAATTTAAATTTGGAAAATAATCGAGATAATGATTCTGAATTTGTATATTAATTATTTATTAAAATTATTAGAAATTATGTTAATCCTTGTATTTGATAAAATATCGAGAGAGGGACATTAAGTGAAGGCCTCGCATTTCTGGCACAAAGGGGATCCCCTGTATATGCCTTTTTTCCGAAAAATATTTAAGAAATCATACTAATTATTTTAAGTTATAAAATGTACAAACGAAAAAATAACCCGAATTCTGTATATTAATTATTAAATAGTTGACATTCTATGTTAATCCGTTCATTACACAAAGGATGTCATAAGAAAGATAAAGGGAAGGGCATTTAGCGATAGCCTAGCATTTCGAGTACATTAAGGGATAGCCGTATTGATGATAACTATATATGTTGATCCTTAAAAATACAAACTAAAATATAAAATTTTAGCTTATGAAAATGCCAATGAATTGCGTTGTTCTGTGGTAAATCAGCCAAATTTTGTCATTTTGATGTTCCAAGTTGTTCAGGTTCTAAATATTCTAAAATTCAGTCAATTCAGTTTAAAGGTTGTTTTTCATTCTTTCGTCGATCTATACTAGATCAACACATGTATGTTTGCAAAAATCAAGGAAATTGTAGAATTGAAGAGGGTACTAAATAAATTTTAAATTAAAAGGAATTCTTTGAAGGGATATTCTGCCGTTCCTGCCGTTTTGACCGTTGTCTTCTTGGTGGAATGAACTTTCGAACTATGCAAAAATTTCCAAATGGAATTGATATTAACAAAATTTCTGCAATGTTAAATGAGAAAAAACACCAACTTTTTGAAAAAGCTGCAAAGTCTCAAAGATATCCAAATTTTGGTCAATATGATGTGACAATAGTAATAGATTATCTGAATTCTTTAATCTTTAGCAAGTAAAATCCAAAGCTGATCCGAAAAATATTTTTGTCTTGATATTCTTTAGAATTCTTCGATTTATTATTTTCGAAGATTTTTTGGGGTCTGTCCAAAACAAAAATTAAGATATATGTATATCGCATGTCATTCCTGTTTCCCAGAAGAACACTTCACGTAATAATTTTTTAAGGCATTTTATTCATTATTTTAGCAGCAAGAATTTTCATCTGGAAACAATAAACCTGAAGTTGAATTATTACAATTTTTGTTATATTCTGACGATAAACTTTTACACATTCGCTACTCTGAGACAGATATTTCCCCAAATTATTATAATAAAAGTATGTCTGATATTCTAAATAATATTGATGGTGGAAGCTTATCAGATTCTATTTTGGCAAAATCTGATATGTTTTCGGTAAAATAAGCAATTTATTATTTTAAATTTTATATAAAATTTATCAGAAACGGAGGAGAGTACCTAAAAGCCTTGACTTTTTCATGCAACAATTGAGGGAAGGTGTAGAAATAAAACCAAGATGGGTAACAATCGACTCATTTTTAATTATTGAAATGACAAAAACAATGCCAGTACTTGGTCAACTCTCATTTGAAGATAAGGTTTATCAAAGGAAAATATGTACTACAGAAAGGATCTCAGTTTTTTATACATACATGGGGCTAAAAATCGTATAATGTGATGGGATGCTTCCTATGATGCGTCCTAGGCAACTCAGACTGAATTTAAAAAAAATTTATAGTAAACTTTGTGTATTAATTTTGGAGTATGTAAAACTAAGATCTGATTGTATATTACTAGAAGTAAAACAAAAAAATTCAGATTCATCTTTACTCTCGAAATGGATTGACAGCAATTGTTTTTAGTATGCTCTTTTACAGTAAAAACCTCCAAGGAAGCGATGTATTAATATCTCCTGCTGGAATGAGTCCTATATTAATTGAACATGACGAAACTGCTAATCTGCTATTTTACAAGCATTTAATCAGAATAACAGAATTTAATTTGAGCAGAAAGGAATTTTTGATTCTTAGAGTTTTAATCTTACTTCACACAGGTTTTTCTTAAAAATATGTGTATGTTGTGATAATATATAGAGACCTTTTTTAGATATCCCCCGATGCTTAAATTATGAACCGAATTTTTATACAATTGCATATTTTTTAAACATGGCATGATGTCTTGTTACCTCTAGGGTTCTTCTATATTTAGTAAAAAAATAACTTAATCACAAATTAATATTAGTCCCTATCATAACAAAAAATATTAAATATTTAATGTTTATTATTTAGCTACAACAGAATTGTCAAAAATCGGATTTGGAATAATACATGCTGAACTTGAAAAGCTTTCAAAAACTTTGTTGTTTTACGAACAGCACAAATGGGGTGATGCGAAAGGTGCAGAGAGATTTGCTAACTTGGTAAATAATTAAGCAAAATTCTAGTTATAAATTCTCTGATATGATAGAATCCTTATTTTATCAAGCTTTTCGAACATTTTTATTGTGGAAGGCAGTTCCAGCCACAAATTATCCAACCAAATTAAAAAACATCATAATTTGGTATCTAATTTTGGAGGTTTCGCATTTTCTCGATTAGTTCCCTCCTTAAAGTTGAAAAATTAATTCCCCAGGTAAAGGATTTTTAATTTTTTAATTTTCCCTTAATTTGCTCTTTATCTATTCAGATGATAAACATAAGACCGATATTGAACATTGGCAAAATACATAAAAATCATGCTAAAAGTCGTGCAAATAATTTTCCTAAATTTATGAATAGCTTAATATTTGAGAATTGTGAAGAATAAAATTTAAATACGTACACAAATTGTGCTAAAAAATTAAAAATTATAATATTTTTTATTTATTATTAAATAAAGTTTAATTAATTTTTTTCTATTAAATTAAAGTTCTAATTAGGTAACTTTAAATAACTTTAATTAATTTTTCTTATATTTAACATTTTACATTTTTGTCTCATAAATTTTTATATAATATATGTATAATTATGGTGGCACGACACTGGCACAGTTTTCTCGATTAATTTCCCATTCTCGAATAATTCCCCACTCTCGGTTAATTCCTCATCTTACTATTTATCAATAGAGAGGAAAAATAACCCAATGAGGAATAATCTCAGTCAGTCAATTTGCTATAATTCCCCACAATTAGTCTTGTGTAATTTGTGCTATTGGCTCAAAAATAATTGCTTTTTAGTCAACATTTCTATTTTTGGAATGAATTATCGTTCAATTTTTGCTTATATATCTGTCTCACGACCCCGTTATTCTTCTTAATCACCAAATTGGGAATACTAAGGAATTTGTGGGAATTAAGGGAGATAACTAAGGAAATGATGACAAGACACAATCTTTTTACATAATTTCCTTTTGTGGAGATGTAGACAGCGAGCTGGACATTTACCGCTGTCTGGATTTGAATAAATCTCCCCAGTGGCCAACCAAGTTTTATGAAAGTAACATGTATTGAACTTTTTAGAATTTCCTGGTACTTTTTCCCTTCTTTTTTAAATTTTTAATTATTACTTTGGTAACAAATATTGTTATTGCTCTTAATTTGCATGTTTTTCATAGAATTTTTACTTAATTCAAAATCTTATAGAATTTTACATTAAATGTGAAAATAGTACATTTGTAGGGAGCTGGCAAAATAAGCAAGGTTGTTATGTATACTTGTTTGAGTCCATTTCCTTTTTCATTCTGTCCACCATTTATTTTCTTAATGGCAGGGCTCTCATTGAGAAAACGTTAAGCTGAAGTGCAAAAAGTTAAGTTATAAGTACATAATGGAAAAAATTTTCAAATTATTAATACGCTACAAAAATACACAAACTTTTTTTTCATTACACTCATAACGTTTTAGTGAAGAATCGGAAATTCTAGAAAATAAAGCGGAAATCTTCCAATCAACCTCTGTCTGAGATATATTTTAGAATTTTGTTGATTGGAAGGATTAATCAAATAAAATTAGGTATACATTTTTTATTCAAAAATAAATTTTTCTGTTTTTTTTCTAAATTTTATTTTTTGTAGTTTGAAAATTTTTTGCTTTCTAACTTTTATTAAAACTTAAAATAAACAATTCCACGTTTTCATCTCCCTCTAATTATCTTTTATGTAGCCATACGATATATCTTTTACATTTTGGCTTTTTGAGGGTGCCTTATTACATCTATCCATTACCAAATTATTGACAAAATTTTCAATTTTTCATTCCACTCATACATAAATTTTAGAGAAAATAGCTGTTTAAACAAGCTTTTTATTTATTTAAAATAAATGATTTATTTAATATAATTTGAGTAAAAAATCTTTATTAATTTGGCTTCTAATTTTTTCCCTTAAAATTTATTAACTTCATTAAATTTCTGTTACCATAGAAATTTTTTAAATTTAGCAGTAAAAACACATATTTTTAGTCGAAACTCTCTAATATGGCCCCCAGTATTACTCTTCATCATATGTCAGTTAAGTTCAGTTCCGATGAGAGAATCTCTCTTAAATTCTCTATGAGAGATTCTATTGCATTCTGGATAGTACCCAAAAGGAGTCGGCTGTACCTTTGTAAGTAAAGATCCTTTGTCAAAAGGAGTAAATCCTCTTTCTCAGTGGTATTATAGAGTTAATAAGCTTAAATAATTACAGGTTTATCAAAATGTTTTTTCCTAATTCAAATCAAAATTCGGAATTTGATAACTATAATATTTCAACACCTTATACATTTAATTATGATGGTGGATCTAGTTATCCTCCATTTGATAATGATCGTGTTAGTTTGGAAGATTTGGAAACACAAATTGATAAAGAATCCCTTTTATGTTATTATAATAACAAGACATCGGACAACAATAATTTAAATTTGGAAAATAATCGAGATAATGATTCTGAATTTGTATATTAATTATTTATTAAAATTATTAGAAATTATGTTAATCCTTGTATTTGATAAAATATCGAGAGAGGGACATTAAGTGAAGGCCTCGCATTTCTGGCACAAAGGGGATCCCCTGTATATGCCTTTTTTCCGAAAAATATTTAAGAAATCATACTAATTATTTTAAGTTATAAAATGTTTCAGCTTGTGAAAAGACCGAAGAATTGTGTTGTCTGTGCCAAACCAGCCAAATTTTGTCATTTTGATGTTCCAAGCTGTTCAGGTTCTACAAACCTAAAACTTAATTAATTTCACTTTAAAGGTTGTTTTTCATTCTTTCGTCGATCTATATTAGATCAACACTTGTATGTTTGCAAAAATCAAGGAAATTGCAGAATTGAAGAGGGTACGAGAAAGTTTGTTTAAAATGTTGAGATAAATTTTAAATAAAAGGAGATAGGATTGGTCCCCGATCCGTAGGGGATAATATTTGTGTGGAATAAAAATTATTTTTTAAGGGATATTCTGCCGTTCCTGCCGTTTTGACCGTTGTCTTCTTGGTGGAATGAACTTTCGGACTATACAAAAATTTCCAAATGGAATTGATATTAATAAAATTTCTGCAATGATAACTGAGAAAAAACGTCAACTTTTCGAAAAAGCTGCAAAGTCTCAAAATTATCCAGATTTTGGTCAATATGATTTAACAGTGGTAATGGATTATTATCACTTAGGATCAGAGCTGATTTTAAATTTTGATTTCAATTTTGGATAAGGTTATGGTACAAAAATAACCTAAGTTACCATGTTGGAGTCGATGAGACGCTTTGCGCGGGATATGGTCTTTAATTCTCGAAACCTATATTTAGTGAACTGTACATAGTTTGGTTTCATTCATTTCCTCTATTCCCCGAATCTTTTATGTAAAATTCTAAATAATATTTTTTGGATGTCGAATCCTGGTCCAAGACTCCATATTGAAGTCTGAGCCCTCAAACACAATTTTACCGATTTTTAATTTAATTTGAGATACGCGGCTAATTTAGGGTGTATCAATAATCTATGCCTAAGTTAAATTTCGTCATTTATCATTATTATTATCCCTATTTTAGCAGCAAGAATTTTCATCTGGAAACAGTAAACCTGAAGTTGAATTATTACAATTTTTGTTATATTCTGACGATAAACTTTTGCATATTCGCTACTCTGAGACAGATATTTCCCCAAATTATTATAATAAAAGTATGTCTGATATTCTAAATAATATTGATGGTGGAGAGGGATTATCTAATTCTATTTTGGCAAAATCTGATATGTTTTCGGTAAAATAATAAAATTATTATTTTAAATTTTATAAAAAATTTATCAGAAACGAAGGAGAGTACCTAAAAGCCTTGACTTTTTCATAAAAATATTGAATGAAGGTACAAAATTATTACCAAGTTGGTTTTTCATTGACTCGTTTTTAATTATTGAAATGACGAAAACAATGCCTGTACTTGGTCAACTCTCATTTGAAGATAAGGTTTATAAGTGGAATAAATTTATCTCAGTTTTGTATATCCTTGGGGCGAAAAATTCTTATTAATGGCTAAGTTGGATTACAGAGTAATAAGGGTCGGATTTTTGGTGTTTACCATTTGTTTCGCTAGAACCGGACACAACCAATATTTACATTAAAATATAAAATTGAATCCTAATATAATGTCATTAAATGGAGAATACTATATCTTCTGGACATTTGGATTTAGAAAATTATTTTAAATTGAAGAGAGTCTAATTTTGGGTGTATGAAAAACTGAGATCTGATTGTATTATTAAGATAAACAAAAAATTCAGATTCATCTTTACTCACGAAATGGATTGACAGCAATTGTTTTTAGCATGCTCTTTTACAGTAAAAACCTCCAAGGAAGCGATGTATTAATATCTCCTGCTGGAATGAGTCCTATATTAATTAAACATGACGAAACTTCTAATCTTCTATTTTACAAGCATTTAATCAGAATAGCAGAATTTAATTTGAGCAGAGAAGAATTTTTGATTCTTAGAGTTTTAATCTTACTTCACACAGGTTTCTCTTAAAAATAGTATGTTGTGATGGGGGTTTTATTTGCATATAATGCGCGAAAATTATAAATTTTGTAAAAATATCATTAATGAAGAAAATTTAGGAGGGAATGACCATAAAAGAAAATTTTTTCGCTAGAAAATTAAAGATATAAGCACAAAAATATTTATCAAATGTTAACGTCAAAATTAGGCGCACAGATCACTCGACGAGCTCTCCAATGTGATATCTTTTGCATACTCGAATTTTTGTCCAAAGAAATGCTTGTTAACCTTATGGTTCTTCTATATTCAGGTGGCCTAAGAATCGGGGATTTGAACGCTATATAGTTAAAAAAATATCTTAAGTCGGCTCTATCACAACTTATTAGTCGCTATCATAACTAAAAAACATTTAATGTTTGCTTATGCTTGACTAAGATAATTTTTAGCTACAACAGAATTGTCAAAGATCGGATTTGGAATAATACATGCTGAACTTGAAAAGCTTTCCAAAACTTTGTTGTTTTACGAACAACACAAATTGGGGGATGCAAAAGGGGCAGAGAGATTTGCTAACTTGGTAGATAATTAAGCAAAATTCTAGTTATAAATTCTCTGATATGATAGAATCCTTATCGTATTAAAGCTTTTCGAATATTTTTATTGTGGAGGGCAGTTCCACCCACAAATTATCCAACCAAATTAAAAAACATCTTAATTTGGTATCAAATTTTGGAGGTACCACATTTTCTCGATTAGTTCCCTCCCTTAAAATTGAAAGATTAATTCCCCAGTTGAAGGACTTTTAATTTTGTAATTTCCCCTTAATTTACTCTTTTATCTATTTAGATGATAAACATAAGACCGATATTGAACATTGGCAAAATACATAAAAATCATGCTAGAAGTCGTGCAAATAATTTTCCTAAATTTATGAATAGCTTAATATTTGAGAATTGGGAATAATGAAATTTATATACGTAAACAAATTGTGCTAAAAATTAAAAATTAATATTTTTTATTTATTATTAAATAAAGTTTAATTAATTTTTCTTATATTTAACATTTTACATTTTTGTCTCATAAATTTTTATATAATATAGGTATAATTATGGTGGCACGACACTGGCACAGTTTTCTCGATTAATTTCCCATTCTCGAATAATTCCCCACTCTCGGTTAATTCCTCATCCTACTATTTACAAATAGGAATAATAACCCAATGAGGAATAATCTCAGTCAATTAGCTATAATTCCCTACAATTAGCCTTGTAATTTGTGCTATTGGCTCAAAAATGAATGCTTTTTAGTCAACATTTCTATTTTTGGAATGAATTATCGTTCAATTATTGCTTATTTATTTGTCTCACGACCCCGTTATCCTTCTTAACCAGCAAATTGGGAATACTAAGGAATTTGTGGTAGAATTTCCTGGTACTTTTTCCCTGTTTTTTAACTTTTTAATTATTACTTGGGTAACAAATATTGTTGTTGCTCTTAATTTGCATGTTTTTCTTAGAATTTTTACTTAATTTAAAATTTTATAGAAGTTTACATTAAATGTGAAACTACATAGTATTAGTACATTATTTTTAGGGAGCTGGCAAAATAAGCAAGGTTGTTATGTATAGTTGTTTGAGTCCATTTCCTTTTTCATTTTGTCCACCATTTATTTTCTTAATGGCAGGGCTCTCATCGAGAAAATGTTAAATTAAAGTGCAGAAAGTTAATTTATAAGTCCATTGTGAAAAAAATTTTCAAATTATTAATATGCTACAAAAATACACAAACTTTTTTCAATTTACTCATACCATTTGAAAAAAGAATCTGAGACAATAAAGCTGAAATCTTCCAATCAATCTCTGAGTAATCAAATAAAACTACATAGTTATACATTTGTTATTCAAAAATAAATTTTTCTGTTATTTTTCTAAATTTTATTTTTTGTAGTTTGAAAATTTTTTGTTTTCTAACTTTTATTTAATAAAAGTTAGATTTAATAAAAGTTAGAAAACAAAAAATTTTCAAACTACAAAAAATAAAATTTAGAAAAAAATAGAAAACTTAAACAATTCCACGTTTTCATCTGCCTTTAATTATTTTTTATGTAGCCATACGATATATATCTTTTACATTTTGGCTTTTTGAGGATGCCTTATTACATCTATCCATTACCAAATTATTGACAAAATTTTCAATTTTTCATTCCACTCATACATAAATTTTAGAGAAAATAGCTGTTTAAACAAGCTTTTTATTAAATAAATGATTTATTTAATATAATTTGAGTAAAAAGCTTTATTAATTTGGTTTCTAATTTTTTCCCTTAAAATTTATTAATTTTATTAAATTTCTGTTACCATAGAAATTTTTAAATTTAGCAATAAAAAACACATATTTTTAGTCGGATCTCTCTCATATGGCCCCCGTATTACTCTCCATCATATGTCAGTTAAGTTCAGTTCCGATGAGAGAATCTCTCTTAAATTCTCTAAGAGAAATTCTATTGCATTCTGGATAGTACCCAAAAGGAGTCGGCTGTACCTTTGTAAGTAAAGATCCTTTGTCAAAAGGAGTAAATCCTCTTTCTCAGTGGTATTATAGAGTTAATAAGCTTAAATAATTACAGGTTTATCAAAATGTTTTTTCCTAATTCAAATCAAAATTCGGAATTTGATAACTATAATATTTCAACACCTTATACATTTAATTATGATGGTGGATCTAGTTATCCTCCATTTGATAATGATCGTGTTAGTTTGGAAGATTTGGAAACACAAATTGATAAAGAATCCCTTTTATGTTATTATAATAACAAGACATCGGACAACAATAATTTAAATTTGGAAAATAATCGAGATAATGATTCTGAATTTGTATATTAATTATTTATTAAAATTATTAGAAATTATGTTAATCCTTGTATTTGATAAAATATCGAGAGAGGGACATTAAGTGAAGGCCTCGCATTTCTGGCACAAAGGGGATCCCCTGTATATGCCTTTTTTCCGAAAAATATTTAAGAAATCATACTAATTATTTTAAGTTATAAAATGTTTCAGCTTGTGAAAAGACCGAAGAATTGTGTTGTCTGTGCCAAACCAGCCAAATTTTGTCATTTTGATGTTCCAAGCTGTTCAGGTTCTACAAACCTAAAACTTAATTAATTTCACTTTAAAGGTTGTTTTTCATTCTTTCGTCGATCTATATTAGATCAACACTTGTATGTTTGCAAAAATCAAGGAAATTGCAGAATTGAAGAGGGTACGAGAAAGTTTGTTTAAAATGTTGAGATAAATTTTAAATAAAAGGAGATAGGATTGGTCCCCGATCCGTAGGGGATAATATTTGTGTGGAATAAAAATTATTTTTTAAGGGATATTCTGCCGTTCCTGCCGTTTTGACCGTTGTCTTCTTGGTGGAATGAACTTTCGGACTATACAAAAATTTCCAAATGGAATTGATATTAATAAAATTTCTGCAATGATAACTGAGAAAAAACGTCAACTTTTCGAAAAAGCTGTGTCGGGAGTCGGGATTTCCCGACAAATGGTTTGGAAGAAAGGAGGAGGAGTCGTGGCACCAGCTAGTGAAGTGTGGCACTAGCACCAGACTGTGTTGGTAGTGCCAACACAGTCGAAGGAAGAAGAAGGGCAGTTGAGTGACTCGGAGCACGAGTCACTTTAGCCAAGAATAGCAGTGGTGAACCTTAGTGCGGTTCACCAAGGAAGCAGAAGTGAACGGAGCACGTTCACTTTTAGTACGCCAACAAACAAAGCACGGCCAACAAAAAATATTTATTTTCCAACCAAAAAAAATAAACAATTGAACAAATGAAGCGAAGAGGGCTAACCAGTGGGCAATGGCAGTTAAAGCCAAAGAGCAGACCACTGGCAGCAGTAGATCAGCACTTGAAGGAGCAGTTAATGATGTGAAGTGAGATAATTTGGGAGGCTGATCTCCTGCTTAAATAGACCCAGATAAAGGCGGGGTTTGGCAATAAATTAATTTAAAAATGTAAGTTTGAAAAAAATGCGCGAAGTAGCTAGAGAAAATAAAACTGAGAGAAGACTCGGCAAGAGAAGCCAAGTCAAAAAACAAAAGGAAGAATAAGTAAGAGAAAAGAGGGTGGCTGGTACGAACGGACACAAAAAATAAAGAAAGGAATTTAGGCGGGAAAACAATTCAAAAATAAAGAGTGGACGACACAAAAATTAACGGTGAACGAGCAAAAAATTAACCAAAAGTGAATGGTTAAAAAATTGGCCAAAAGTCGCTAATGTTTGGCGACACTCCCCCCGCCCAACAAAAATCACAAAAATTCTTCATCATCATCGGCTTCTTTCATCTGCCATATTCGGAAGTTCATCATCGGCTTTTCCTTTCATCTTCCAGATTCGAGTCATAGCAAGTGGTGAACCACGGGCTGCATCCATGTCACAACACGTTGCATGGTTGCATGGTGTGATCCAGAGCAGTGATGATTGTGGTGGAGTGCCCTTTCGTGATTTCCCCTTTTGAAAGCTTTTGGTGAGA